TCTTCTTATTTTGTCGAACAAGATCATTTTTTGTCATTATTTTTATTGTCAAATTACAATTATAAATCATCTGATATATGTTAATTAAATATTACTCATATTATCTTCTCTCTTTTCCAGTAACATAATTTTAATATGCATTTTTTCAATTGACCTTATTAATTATAGTTAATTTCATGAGTTATAAATATACTAGTATAACGCCCGTGTATTACACGGGTGCTTGCTAATTTTTTCCTTAAAATCTAAAATTAATGAGAAAAAGTAGTTTAAATTTTAAATATTTTTTTATTAAAATATATATATTATTATATATCTAGTATGACACTTTTTATTTGTGTGACTTACTTGTATTATATTTATAATAATTTTTAACTTACAACATATAACTACATTAAACATAAATATATCAACTGAGAAATAATTTTATTTTTCTAATAAATTTTAATAATATTATTATTTTTTTTATTATTATAAAGATAAATATAATTATTTATTTTATATATACAATATGGATGTCAAATCGAAGATCATGAAAAGATGAATAATTTGATATATTATATATGTAAAATCGATAAGAAATACAAAAATTATCAACTTTTAAAATACATTTATAATTCAATAGTTAATTGAAGGAAACAAATAAAAAGTCAGAGATATATTAGTCACTTAGTGCCTCACTATCTAAAATTATAAAGAATTAAAGGGTTACATTAGTACAAGTGATATTAAAATACCTAAGTTAGCTAAATAATATTTATGTCCGAACCTAAATTATTAATTATTAATATATCAATATTATTTGTCCAAACCTAATTACGAAGCATGATTTTTCGCCAAGTAGGATTCCGAAGCACCAAAATCAGCCACGTAGGCTCAGCGCATTCAGGAATTATATATAAGAGGATATTAAAATTCAAGTTTTGGTCTAATTTTAATTTTTTATTCTCATTCAAATTTTATTTTATTTTTCATGAACCATTACAAAATATATGGTACACAATCTCATTTAGATTTCAACAATCTTAAAAAATTATTCAAAGATACTGAAATATTTTTTTGGTAAATTATATTTTGAGTTTCACTTAAGAAATAAATTGATTTAATACAAAAGTTTAATATCAAGTATAATGAGCGATAGTTCAATGCCCGGATATTTTTACTATTTATGAAGTTCGATTGTATTTCCATAAATAACAATTTTTTAATGCATTTATTTATTAGTATGTGCATTAAATCGTGTATTTTAAGGTTTAACACATGGAGTCAAAAATCCGTATCAAACTCCTAACTCGAATATTCTATTTGACCAACTTCTGTTAGAGGACTTGGTCGACCTTTCTCGGGTATTCATTCCACCTCCTGATATAAACTCTTCTCTATTATATGCAATTTCTGCAGGCACTATCGTAAGTGCTCTTGCTTTGCCAGTTGTTTCAATCCTTGCAGCTTGTCTCCCTTATTTAGGGCATCCCTCAAGTTTTACTCCATAGCTTAGCTTCCGAAAGAAGCACCAGCAGGATAGAACGAACTCAAAATTTGACGAACAATAAGGCGAATGATCTCGAACACGATATTTTGTTAGAAAAATAAACGAACGAACAGGAACATTGTTCGAACGTAAATAAACACGAGCTCGAAACGTCTAAACTTGACTCGTTTGAGTCGATCACAACACTATCCACATGTATATAAAATATTTATAATACTTGTGAACTATTAGTTATTAGACCGACCATGTTTTTTGGTTTGACATTTTCCACAAAAATTGATAGTCAAATTGAGTGGAGTCATGAAGTGTTTGTAAATGAAAAACCTCGATTTATACTCTATCCATACTCAAAATCCAATACAACTTTAACTAACTTCACTATCCTCAATATTATCTATATAATTAAACAATATCAATCAATCATTCTTATATATCATATCAATTTTAATTTATTATTCACCCCGGATCCTTCGATGCCATTCCGACCCCTTTTGCTAAACGTTCTCAAACCAAGAGGTCCTAAATCGACCCCTCGATCTGATATAGAAAAAACACGAGTTCTGGAACTGATTGGGCTCTAACAAGTGGTCTTGTGCGGGGGTACGCCAAGGGGACCCTGCCGAAATGTAGTAAGTAAGACGGATTCTTACTCTTTAGCTCCGGCCGCTGAAGCCAAGACCGTAGATCTACTTCTTAGATCTACTTCCCTTGACCTTGAAACTACAACAATGGTATCGTATCAGGAATTCTCTAATACCGGCAAGAATTCAGATCTCTTCACTTCAAGAAGTCCCATACTTTCGGAATGTCTACACGAATCAAGATCGAAAAAAAGGGAGTTTTCCAATTTATTCAATTTTTAATTTTAAAATTGCATTTATTTAGCCAAGTATCGGTTTATTCCTAAGATAAAACCGAGCCTTGAAATAATCAAAATTTCAGTAAAGTCTGGTCGAAACTCGGACGAGCAGAGCCTCGACCCATACCCGATCCATTTGATTCCGACTCATTTTATTTCATCGAGCCCATGTTCGATTTTATTTATTTTTTACATTTGAGTGGCATTTGACCCTGAAATTATTTGTAAATATATAAATATATTTTTTATTTTTTTTAATATAATATATATTTTTAAATATGTTTATTTTAAATAAATTTAAATATTCTTTTTTAAATATAAATATATATTTTGTGATTTATATTTATATTTTTATATTTATATATATATTAAATAAATAAAATATTATGTATAGTATTATATTAGATAATAGAATAAATTATATATCATTATTATTAGTAACAACATATTTTTCTTATTTTTGTAATAGTTTTTTAATATATATATTTTTTTTTTGGTACAGGGACCTTTCGGTTTTCGGATCCACAGGGGAACCGACTAATCCGAAATCGAGCCGGGTAGGACCACAAGGGAGGCAAAGCTCTCTCTCAAGAGTTTTAACACTGCTGCATTCTCAGGGCTCGAACACGAGACCACTGATTAAGCTGGAAGAGACTCAAACTATCTCATCCAAGTGCTCTTGGGTGTTTTTTAATATATATTAACTAAATATATTTATATTTAATGATTTATTTTAATTTATGTAATAATTTTTTAATATATATTAACAGAATATAACAATTTTCTTAGTAAAACAAAATATATATATTTTATATTTTATTTATTATTATTATTTTAAATTTATTTTGTTTTATTGTTAATGTGTCTTCATCATTTATTTATTTATTTTTTTTTTATTTTTTATCTAGGTGTAGCTGTTTATTTGGAAAGAATGATGTCACATCACGTCACGTAAATAACACGTAGTAAGTGAAGGAAAGTTTAGATGCCATGTCACTAACTTATCATGTCACATCATCATTTTATCCGGACTAGTAATTAATACATCTTATTCGACCAAACTAACAACTAAATGTATCTTTTCCATTAGGTACTGACATAAAGTCTCGTTTCCTGACAACGCCCAACTTGATGTATCTTTTCTGAAATTTTGCCTAAAAGTAATTAACAGACGGAGCAATACAATAATTTGTAATAACTATGGAATAATGATAATATATTTGCAATAAATTGAATATGCTAATAATATATATTTATGCAGTAAATAATAAAAAATTAATAATATGTTTGTAATGTGTATACATATTTTTTTTCGAAACGATAGAAATATTATAAAAGGGCACAAATGTGCTAATACAAACATCATCTGACAACGCACAGCCACCAGCCAAAAAACTGAGAGGATAGAACTAAGCCCGCCTAAAGACGACCCTAACAGGGTAATAAACACCCAACACAAAAATGACCCTAACAGGGTAATAAACACCCAACACTAAAACACAACACTAAAACGACCCTAATGTGTATACATATACATGATAGAATATAAAAAAAAAAAAAAAAA